ATGTGAGAAGAATGTTAACCCATTTCAATCACAAGTATTTGATTTTCTCCATGAGTAACACTATGCTGTGCATTGCGGAGTTTACAGAAGAGTTGAGATATGATCCTGACTTTGTGGTACACAATTTCATCTGATAGAGCAAGGCATATGTGGTACAATAAAGATATAGATGTTACTGATGTACATGAAAGCCTTGTGGGCTGAGTTCCCTTATAGAAGTGGAGTTTGTGCAATCTTGAAATGGGTAGCATCTGGATAAGAAAAGAGTCAATCGAGTAAGAGAAATGCCCCCAAATTGTTTCTACAATGGTAGAACAACTTCCTTCAGAAAAAGCTACATAGACTTTTAAATTTAAAATTATAGCATCTTATAAAATAATACATAAATACCATTTACTTTTATGTCTAATATGTTTAGGGAAAGTATCTAAGTCAACGTTAAAAATTCTATTTCAAATTCTCGCATGCAACTCCTTTCACTAAATAATAGTGAACTGTCTTTTGAAGTAGTCAGATGCTTCAACATTAGTTTTCTTTTCAAATAATGCAACATAGTAAAATGTGGACTTCCAGAGTTCTTAGTTTACTGTGATTTTTCTATGAAAATAATGTAAAACTATTTTAAAATTTTCCTTAAATTTCTCACAAGTGTAAAGTAAGTATGACACCACAAGCAATATTTGTTGAATTATTACAATGTATTATATGTATTTTACTTAATTAGTTTGATATTGAGAACTTTTTTCAGATAATAATTCTCCGAGATGAAGATAAAGTGGATGAAAATTGAAGTAAAGATGTATTCACCCTACAAGACTTAATAGTGAGACTGAGCAGAACTCAACATTGTATTAGCCAAGGGATTAAAGAGGCAGAGCAGAAACTGCTTCCAATGTTGTTTCCAAATAAATAAATAAATAAATAAATAAATCTTTTCAGGTGTTTTCTTCCAAGGAGAGAGTAACACTAACCTCTATCTTCCTGTATACATTTTTCCAGGCTTCTGGAACTTGTCGGTGATTCCTAAACTTGGCTTTATATTAGACTCACCCAGCAACCCATTAAAATCCCAATGTCACCAGGCATGGTGGCTCACACCTATAATTCAAGCTACGTGAGTGACTGAGGCAGAAGGATCCCTCAAGTCCAGGAGTTCGAGGCTGCAGTGAGCTATGATCATGCCACTGTACACTAGCCCAGGTGACAGAGTGAGACCCTGTCCCCTCCCCCTCCAAAAATCCTGATGTTCAGGTTATCAAATTAGAATTTTTAAAGTTATCATTGAGGCAGTGCTATTAAAAGCAAAGACAAAATGAAGCAAGCAAGCAAACCACTTGATTCTGATATGGAACAAAGGTTAAGAACTACCAGATAGAAAAAGAAAACAAATTCATTAATGCTGATTGTCTATTACCTTTAAATAACCTAGATCTCAAGAGATCCTAATATACCAAACCTTTGGCTAGGACCTGAGAATCTATTATAATTAGCATTTTCATTAATCTGAATATCTCACTGATATCATTCACAAAATTTGATATAAGATGGATCACAGACCTAAATATGAATGCTAAAGTTTCTAGAAGAATACTTTGAGGAACATCATAATGATCTTGAGTGAGATAAACAATGATTTTTTTCTGGAGCACAGAATGTATTAAACATATAAATAAAAATTATATTAATGTTTTTACTATATTAAACTTATATTCATTTATTCAAAAAACCTCATTAAATATATAAGGAACTCCTTATACAACAACAGAAAAAGCAACTTAAAAAGCGGGGCAAAGTGACTGAATAAATTTTCTTCAAAGACATACAAATAGCCAAAAGATATGTGAAAAGATGTTCAACATGGCTAATGATCAGAGAAATATGAATGAAAGCCACAATATGATATCACTTCTCACCCATTAGGAGAGCCATTATAAAACAAAACAAGACATGGCAAGTTTTGGCAGTGATATGGAGAAACTGGAACGGTTGTACACTCTTGTAAATTGGGATGTAAATTGGTTCAGCCACTGAATAACAGTATGGAGGTTCCTCAAGAAAACAAAAATTAGAATAACTATACGATCCAGCAATCTTACTCTTGGGCATATGTCCAAAAGAATGAAAATTAGGATGTGGTAGAGTTACCTGCACACTCCTGTTCTTTGCAGCATCACTCACAAAAAAACAAAATTTGAAAACTTAAATGTCCATTAGTGCATGAATGGATAGAGAAAATGTGGTGTATAAATAGAATGGAATATTTTCAGCTTAAGAAGGAAGGACATTCTGCCATTTGCAACAACATAGATGAACCTGGAGGATATCATGCTGTGTGATAAGTCAGTCACAGAAGGACAAATTCTGCATGATTTCACTTATATAAGCTTTCTAAAATAGTCAAACTCATAGAAATAGAGAGTAGAATGGTTAGGGGAAGGAGGAAGAAGGGTTGCTGTTCAATGGGTATAAAGTTTCAGTTGTGTAAGTTGCATAAATTCTAGAGATTTTCTGTACAACATCACGCCTATACTTAACAGTACTATATTGTACATTTAAAACCTTATTAAGAGGATAGATCACAAGTTATGTTTTTATCCCAATTAAAAATGAATAGAAATGTCACAGTGAGATAACATATTTGAAATACATAGACCTGACAAAAGATTTCTATGGAGAATAAATAAATCCTACAAATTGTTATGCAGAAGATAAATCACTCAATTAAAAGTGGGCAAAAGACTTGAACAGTCAATTCATAGAAGAAGACAGTCAATATGAATAGAATCAGTAAGGACATAGTTCAACTGAATATCACCAAAATCAGTGAGTCCCAGTCTCTCTTCTTGGAAGAGAACCAAAACAACTCTAGATAAAGTTGCAGATAGAACTGCAAGAACAGATAAATAAATCCACTATTATCATTGGAGATGTTAACATCTCTCTAACAATAATGAATAGAATCAGTAAGGACATAGTTCAACTGAATAATTACATTTAATACCACTTGTTAGCCTATTCTGATTATTTAACGGGTTGATTCATAATTTACAAACTTGGGTCAGAAATATTTTCTATTCTTAGCTTTTGCTGTCAGCAGAGATAATAATATTATAGAGCATGAACAACAAAGGATTGTGTATTGTTTCAATATTTTTTTTTAATTAAAAAGAGAACCTAGTTATTTGCTTTTCCAAATTTCCTGTAAGATAAGAAAGACATATTTTTTCTTAACTACACCCTTGCTAAGTCACACTAGCTGCCTGACCTTGGAAAAACTTCTTAACCTCTTTGTGTCTCATTTTCAATAACTGTGAAATAAAGATAATAATTGTAGTATATTTCTCAAGGGATTATTGTGTGAATTAAAAAAAATAATGCTCTAAAATGCTTAGTTACAGATTCTGGAACATAATAAGCAGAAAAATTAATAACTATTATTATTTTTATTTGCTATATTATATGGTATACTTTTTCTTCACGATCTTCAGGATAATTTCTATTCATCTTAAAACCATATATAGATATTTATCTGCAGAGAACTGTATCTTCATTATTTCAAGGTCTGTGGATTACATAATGGTCAACTCTGATTGATTTACTGATTGATTAAACAAATTTTTAAAACAAAAATAAAAATATTGCAGCTATGTTGGTTTTAACCATTCTAAACCGATGAAATTTGCTCTCTGGTTTGTGACTAGGAAGCTGAACATTATTTATTAGGGCTAAAAATTTCTGGTGTCTAAAACAATTCAAGAGGAAAACTGTTAGCTTCTATTACAAATAGGTATATTTGAACTGTTAAGATTTAATTGCGAGTATGTAGATAATGCAAATATACCTTAAGGTACAACTTTTGTTCTCATTAAGTTACCCATTTTACATTTTGAGAACACTAATAGGTGAAATTCTTGTCAAAGAGAAGATCTAAAATGGTTTAAAGAAAATATTAAATGCAATCAAACTTACTTGTCAAGCTCCATAGCACAACTTGCAAGTCATAAATCACACTCTGTATGACAGCTACAGGAGGAATCTGCGTAGTAAAAGAGAAATGATGGATTTTATCTTTCCTGTTTTTGTGTTATTAGGAACTAGTTGAACTATAGAATGGCCTGAAAGACTCACATCAGGGATGGGAGGTTATTTGCAGAAACTCTTGTTTTATCACATTAATGTCAATATTTGACATTTCCACATGACTAATTGTTGAACTAATTTTTGATTTCTTATGCCAACTATTAATAATCCTCTTTTCATCTAGAAAGCACTTTTTGTCTATCTGTAAATCGATATTTGTTATGTTAATTTATTTTTACTTATTACAAGGATTACCTTTTGTTTACAACAAAGCATTTGTAGATTTGTTTTCAATCAAATCTCACAAACATTAATTGAATTATTGAAAAGAATTTGTAAATTATTTTGTTTTATCTAAAATAGTAACATCAACATGTATATTACATTAATTTTGTTTACTGTTTTGTGCTTCACATTAACTATATTTAACTGATTTTAACAGTCTTAGATAATTCCAAAACATCAATTATTTTACTTGGATGTACTAATTCATTCAAAAATATATAATGAAAGTCTATTATTTGCCCAGCACTGGGCTAGGCAAAGGTAAGAGTGAATGGCCAAATCATGTTCTCCCTGTTTCCCTGTGATGTATTATCTGGCTAAAGACTGTGAAGGAAGAGTCATGTGAAGGAAGAGTATTCGAAGGATGTAAGAAAAGGGATCACAGAATTAACTATATGTAGGCTGTTCTTAGGGAAGATTTCTTCTAGAGGTGGTACTTGACCTTCAGTAAGAAGTATGATTTGATAATTGATGTTAACTAGGTAATTGAGGGGATAAGGTGCTTTCTCAGGAAGAGGGACGTAGTAGGCAAAGTCTTTAAGATAAAAGCATAGTGAAAGCTCAAAACTAAAAGGAGGCTTGTGTGTCTCGACTCCAGAGAAAGGAAGAGAGTTCAGAGAGTCTAGCAGAGATAGCAGAGAAGACTATCTTTTTTTTTTTCCCAGTAGCAACCATCTTTCCTGTGAAAAATTCCCTCTCCTAGTACTTTAGTTCTGTGGATCCAAAAATTATAGCATTCTTTTACCACCATGGGGTAAGTATATAATAAAAAATGTCAGTTATTCGAGCATGTAAGAAGCTTGGACATCATCACTCCCATCCTTACAACAAGAAAAATGCTGTACAAACAGACTATCAACAACTCATTTTAGATCCGTTAGAGGACTGAGGTCACAGAAAAACTGCTGCCCCCACCCTAAATCTCCACTAAATTAGAGAGATGGGAAAATGCAAAGAATTGTAGCTCAGTGGAGCAAGATCCCAGGAGCCCCCATAGGAGTTAGTAATGGAGTAGAAAACTTTAATATGTAGTTGATTAATTTCTGGAAGCTCATTGTGGACAAGCTTGAGAGTTAACTTCGAAAAATATATAACATGATAATATTAATTAAAAGAAAGTTGGATTAATATATTAATTTCCAACAAAAAGCCTTCAAAGAAAGAAGAATTATACGGGGATACAAAGGGGTATTACATAGTAACAAAGAGTTTAATTTTCCAAGAAAACATAACAATCCTTAATGTGTTTGCATGTAACAGGCTGTCAAAAACACATGAGGTGAAAACAGAACTGCAAGAACAGATAAATAAATCCACTATTATCATTGGAGATGTTAACATCTCTCTAACAATAATGAATAGAATCAGTAAGGATATAGTTCAACTGAATATCACCAAAATCAGTGAGTCCCAGTCTCTCTTCTTGGAAGAGAACCAAAACAACTCTAGATATCTCAGGCAGAATGAATTCAAAGAAAATGACTGAGCACATTACTTCTCAACATTAGATTCACAATGGAATCATCTGGGGCAATTTTTTAAAGAAACAAATGCCTACATACCATGTCCAGATTCTGATTTATTTGTTATTAGATATGGCCCAGACATTACTCTACTCCTGACGTCTGTGCTTGAACCATCCTATCATGTGTTTGCACCATATCAATAGTGAAACTGACAGTGCTCTGATAGGGGTATACTCTTTTATCCCAGTCTACATCCCAATACCCAATAGCCCAATATTCTTAGAATCCAGGTGTATTCATACTCTACTGGATCATTTCTGTTCCTTTGTAATACAGTCCCTCTCTTCCCTTATAGGCTCATAACGACATTAATAGACACTTTTCAGAAAGGCAGGTAAATAATTTGTTAAAATCTTACTGCTGTTGTTTAACAGAAACATATATATGCATGTATTTGTGTATACCGTATGAAAAAAAGTGGAATTAGAGTTTATCTAGAAAAGAAAAAATTACCTCATCTAAGTGTGGAAATGAATAATCCTTAAACCAAACCATAAAATTGTCTCTATCATATTTCCACAAATAAGTCAAGAATTTAAAAAATCTTATTGTTCATGCATAAATGCAGAAAACAATACATCTAGTATATGCTTGTATTCTATTGTACTTTCACAGAAGCTGTTTGATACTTAACACTATGGTTACTAAGAAAATAATAAATCTTTGCAATGGTTTTGGAATTAAAATTTCATGTAAAAATGATGATGTAGATCAAGAAAAGTTGCAATTTTCTGGATTCCTGATATTTTAAATAAAAGTAGTTTCCAAAGGTGATTTATTATTTTAATTTTTAATGTAAATTTTCACAATATAATCATCCTATATAATTTTATTTTTCAACTATTATTTTTGTTGACTCTAAGAAACAATTACTTCTAAATATTATTTTATAATTCTTATGTTATAATTAAAAATCACAGTTTGTTGAATAAAATATCTGATTTATTACTCCCTAAGTCAACATTAAATTATTGTATTGCTATATCATGTATTTTGATGGTCATAACTCTAGGCTTATATAATAATGTCACTCCACTTTCATTTACATACCTAGAAAATTTGCAGTTAATTCCAATTCGAATAATATCTTTGTAACTAAATTTATCACGAAGCTCAACATGACAATTTAGTATAGTTAATCTCCATTTCATTTTACTTTTGTACAACTTTTCCAATGAAGTGATCCTCTGAGATTAGGACTAGTTGAAATCTTAGAGCAAATATATAAATTGCTTCAAAGGAAGCCTTAGATGCTTTAACTCATGCATTGAATTTGAACATAGAAATGAGAGGAAAGCTTGGATAATTTTATAATGAAATGCTAAGCATGTTTTCCCCTCAAGGAAACATTTAAAGTCAACTTTCAAACTGGATATTACTCAAACATCAATCATTTAACTGTACAGCATGGGACATTTTGGGCATGGCAAATTCTAACGGAAGAGACTGCTAAAAATTCTCAGCCACATGGAAATCTGACTGCTTAATTATGAAAGCTGCAGAGCTGTTAGTAAATTGTTTTATTTTGTTTTTACATGTAGCTCAGAAACTACTTTGTAAAACTATCTTAATAGTTTTCATGGCTGGGTGCGGTGGCTCACGCCTGTAATCCAAGCACTTTGGGAGGCCGAGGTGGGTGGATCACCTGAGATCTGGAGTTCGAGACCAGCCTGGCCAACAAGGTGAAACCCCACATCTATTAAAAATACAAAAAGTAGCTGGGTGTGGTGACACACGCCTGTAATCCCAGCTACTCGGGAGGCTGAGGCAGGAGAATCGCCTGAACCAGGGGGACGGAGGTTGTAGTGAGCCAAGATCGTGCCATTGCACTCCAGCCTGGGCAACAAGAGAAACTCCATCTCAAAAAATAAAATAAATAAATAAATAAAAATAAAAATAAATAAAAAAGAAAAGAAAAACTAGTTTTTACTTTATTTCTCCCAAAATATGTCAAAAATGGCATGACACACTTGCTTTTTCTGTAGTCAAAACCATTTGTAAATAAACTTGAAATGTACAGTGTAGAATCCAAGGGCAGAAAATAAAGACTGAACATAGAACTAAGAGCCTGTCCAACATCAAGGCAGTGGCTTTTTATCAATTTTTCTCACTCCAGGGCAACACTTGTTCCCTTACTCTTGTACTCTTTGCATCTCCATTGCTTGCCTGTGGCTCAACAATATTATTCTTTATAACATTATGGAGGCTATATGGCTTTGCTCATCCAGTATGCATCCCTATTATATTCTTCATCTCAATCAGAATTCTCAATTGAAAGAGGCTTATTGATTTCCAACCAATAAATGGATAACTTCCACCTAAATCATGTGTTCATACATTGTCCAATCCACTGGACCACGTGGACTTAAATCATACGTGGAAGGAAACTTCCTAACATGCTGAATGGATTGGCTCTCACAGAAGATGTTCTTGAGTGGGCAGGTTTCCTTACAAAATATAATATACTAAGATTGTGGTATTCAGACAGCTCTTCAATCTTTAAGGGAATTGTGGAAGTAAACCAGGGGTGACATGGATTATCAAATATTGAGGACCAGGTGAGCTCTAGGCTTCTCAATGTCACTTAAGGTAATTACCCTGTACTCTCATCTATTTTATAATATTGCCTTTATTTTTTTCCATGAAAGAGTTAGGTTTGGAAAAACAAGAAAAACAAGCTTAAAATTCTTTCTCTAGTGAATTGGTTGTGTTTATAAATCTTTAGCTTAGCTTGAGTCCCCGTTTGTGAAACGTATAAATCCTTTTGATACATTAACAAACACTTGGAAAATGACTTATTAAGTTGAATTCTCTAATATAAGGGTTATAAGTGAAGGCTTAATTACTCAGCATTACTGAATTCAATATACCTGCCTTTTCAGTTTGCCTAGGGTGACAAATACATTTCCCATTAAAGCTTGCCAATGTAACACAGCCTTATTTCATTTTTATTGTAAATAAAAGCACATTCTAATATGTTTTAGCTCAATACAGCAATGTATATATTCAACTACTTCCCAATAGAGAAAATTT